GTACCGTCTATGTTGTGTATATTTTCCCCCCATTAAATTACATTTTTAAATAGCGAGTCTGTTTCCCTGTCCCTTATTAAACAGTGCCATCTAGTGGCGAAAGGGGCACTTGCTGCTCGCATACCAGAAGAGAAAATAAGATGCATTTCATTGGGTTCTTTCAAGATTCTTGAATGAGGCAAGATTGACTAGGATGATCCCCACTTCTTTCTCCCGGCTCTCCCAGCAGACCGATTTGTGCCGCTCTCAGCCTTGAACTCACAGCAACTGTGGTTACCGGCGTACAACCGGCATAGGAGCAAACCAGTTAAAAATTGCAGCACTCCTTTAACCCCAGAACTCAGGAGGCAGAGGCAGTTGGGGTTATGTGGGTTTGAGGCCAGCTTAGTGCAGGCCAGCTAAGGTTGCATAGTGAAATCCTGTCTCAAAATAAACAAACGAACAAAAGGCGTAGATGGGGAGGGGCTTTTGAAGTCCCACCCCTTGCTGATTTGCTAAAAGCTGTTGGTGGGTGAGAGAGCCATTTTTTCTTTGGGAGGGGTAGATTTCCCAGGCCTTAGTGGATGACCATACACGTAACACCGAAAACATGGACAGAGCCAATTTTATTTGGGGAGGGGTTTTTGTTTGTTTGTTTTGTTTTTATCTATGTAGCACTGGTTGTCCTGGAACTCTCTCTGTAGATCAGGGTGGCCTTGAACTCAAGAGATCTGCCTGCCACTGCCTCCTGAGTGCACCATTGCCTGGCTTAGTAGGTATTTTTTTTTATTTATTTATTTATATTTTACATGCATTGGTGTTTTTGCATTTGTATATGTCTGTGTGAAGTTATTGGAACTCCTGAAACTAGAGTTAGTCTTGAGCCACCATGTGGGTGCTGGGAATTGAACCCAGGTCCTCTAGAAGAGCATCCAGTGCTCTTAACCACTGAGCCATCTCTCCGGCCCCTAATAGGTTACTTTTAAAAGACACACAAAGTAGGGAAGATGATGGGGAATATGTTGTGGGGGTGGGAAAAGCTGGAAGGAAGGGGTGGGAATGGGTATTACCAATACACTATATACATGTATGAATTCCTCAGAAAAATAATTAAGGGCTGGAGTGATAAAGCAGCTGTGAAGAATGTTTGCTGCTTTTCCAGAGGACCCAAATTCAATTCCCAGCACCCATGTGAAGCGTCACACCACCATCTGTAGCTCCAGTTCCAGTGGGTCTGACGCCCTCTTGTGGCCACTGCAGGCACCACATGCATGTAGTATATACATCAGACAAAACACTCATACAGTAAAAATAAACATTTTCAAACAAATGAATAACAATAAAACCAGTGTTTCCCGTGTCCTGTGTTCTAGCAAATTCTCACACCTGAGCAGAGGAAGACCATGGGAAATATCACTATCTCTTCCATAACTTTGTGGCTGTCCGGAGTGTGCCAGAGGAGGCTGAAGAGTTTGGGGTTGGTGTGGGGAGCAGATCGCCATGTGTCAGAGATATTGGCAGTAGAGGGAATTTGCTTCTCCCCGCTTCTAAGCCCCTCAGGCTCCTGTGTGCTAATGGCTTCCTCCAGCTGACTCAATCTCAAGCGCTGTCCAGTCAGCCCACTGAGTCACAACAGCCACAGAGAAGGATCACACAGCTTGAGGCAGGCACCAGGGTACACACTGGCATTGCGGGGACACCATGGCGGCTGCCACCACCCATTCTGGGACCCCAGTGGGCTGACTTGGACCTGAAGAACTCCTGTGGCACTTGCCTCAAGAGCTGGGACACTGCAGAAGCCCCCGCTGATGCACACACAAGATCGGGTACATTCTAAGGAGAGCTGCCCTTCGGAGGGTGTGGCCACCAGGAGAGGTGACCGTCCCCTAAAACTGCAGCAGAGAGAGAGCTGCCAGTCTCAAAAGCTGGCGGAAGTGTGATATCAACAAGGAGAAGAGGAAACACCCGGTTGACACTTCGGGTTCCTGGATTGAGCCAAATCTAGAGGCAATCCCACCTCAAGTTTTAGTGTAACATGAATCCATAATAAATATGTTCTCTTGGGACTGAAGAGATGGCTCAGTGGTTAAGAAAACCTGGGTTTAATCACAACTATCCATAACTCTAGTTCCAGATTCCTGGCCTCTGAGGGCACCAAGCAAAACACAGCGCACACACACACTAAAATAAGTGCATCTAAAAAAAAAAAGAGTATCCTTTTAAAGCAAAATGTTGTGGTGGATGTCTTCTGCGCATACACCCACAGAGGATTTTAAAAAGAGAAAGACACTCATACCAATCTACAATTGACAAGAAAACTTCCAGATTATCAAATTAGAAAAAGGCAATCATGTTATATGTAATAAAAGAGTCGGAATCAAGTTTTAACTGGCATTTATTGAGTTATTATTATACGCCTAGTGTGCCTGGTGTTTCACACATGTCATTTAATAAGCAAATTGTAACAGTTCAGGATTAGCTGAATTAGACAGCTACTGGGCACATGAAGTAAACATTATTATATATATATATATATATATATATATATATATATATATAGGCAAATCAAAATGCAGCAGTTCAAAATCGCATAACTGGAGAGTCTGGAAGCATCACTGATGAGTCAGAGTTGACACACACACATGGTTCTCTATTCTACAAAGAGCAGATGTTCCTCTTACCTATCCACGAAACTGTTACAAAGACTGGGTGTGCCCTCCGTAGCTGAAGCTTTGCAAAATGCTTTTGGAAGCAAACATATTATAGGTTACATTAGCAGAGCATAAATTAGACAACTTTTCCCTTTGGTGTGTGGGGGAGATGGGTAGGTTGATTGCACGCATGTGAGTGTGTAGACGATCACCCACGCATGTGCTCATGGAAATCAGGGCAGGACATGGGTTGTCTTCTTACATTACTTTCCACATCGCCACCTTGAGGCAGGGTCTCTCGCTGAAATAGAAGCTTGCCTTTTCAGCTAAGCTAGGTGGCCAGAGAGCTCCGGACACTGTCTCCACCAGACATCACCTCCCAATGCTGACATTACAACACAGAGAGCGTGTATTATGTGGATCCTAGGGATTCAAACTCAGGCCCTCATGTTTGCAGAGCGAGCCACTCCCCAACCCTCCCACCCACCCCCATAAAAGTGTTGTTAAACAAAAAGCAAACTAAACCACTGAACTTCCAAGCATTTAGTAGGAGCGCTACAAAAAATAAGTCACAACAAGGATAAAGATTGTATAATGTCAAACCGTGGCCAAGGTTATATCCAAAAGGACATTTCTACTGTTAAATATGCTATTATTGCAATTACAGAGAGAATTTAAATTAAGTATCTGGCTTAAAATGTGACACAGGAAATAAAGGTAGAACTAAGCACAATATATATTTTATAATTTAACATATAAAAATAAATAATAAATAAAAGAAATAAGGGATGTAAATAAAACCAAACACCAGCTCTTTGGAAAAATAAGAAGGACCAGGTAAGTGTTTGGTAAAACCAAGTGATAGGAAAAACTGCAGAAAAACTCATTTAATTATAAAAATAGTGTTCATAATTAAGCTTTTAGTCTCAAAATATATTCAGAATGAAGAACTCTCTAGAGGATAAAAGACTACTATAAATCATCAAAATGAATCCAAGAAGGAAAAAAAAAAAAACTATTCACAAGCTACCAATATAGAATTATCATAGTAATGACTAGTAAATGAGTTATGATAACTCAAACCTCTATCCAAACATTGCCTGAGATTTCCCCCCTCACAAATCTCAGAGCTGATTACTGGTGAATTCTTCAAAAAACATTTAAAGATGTATTTTTTAATTATATGTACGGGGAGGGATATATGAGTGAATATGTACACGTGAGTGTAGCGCCCCCCTAGAGGCCAGAAGAGGAAGTGCGATCTCCTGGAGCTGGAGTTGCTGTAATTGAGTGCTGCCTGATGTGCGTGACCGGAAGCAAATTGCAAGAGTGGTACGCACTCTACACCACTTAGCCTCCTCTCCAGCCACGGTAGATTCTTTTAAACCATCAAAGAGCTGATATTTCTCAAGCTACAGGAATTATTCAAAAGCATTAGGAAGTGTGAAAGATCCCTCAGATCTCTCAATGATGCAAGCCTAAATTAAACCACGAGATCAAAAGCGTCACAAAAATAGCACCATCTGAACATGTGAAGGTAGAGGCAAGAGTTCTTACATAAAACAGCAAGAAAAAGAAGGCCGTCTATGGAAAGACTATATACATATTGAAGATGCTATGATATTGAGGCTGGAAAGATGCTCAGCAGTTAAGATCACTGGCTGCTCTCCCAAAGGACCCAGGTTCAATTCCCAGCACCCACGTGGTATTTGAAACTATCTGTGACTCCAGTTTTAGGGGATCCAACACCCTCTTCTGAACTCCACAGGCACCAGGTACATACTCAGTATGTAGACACACATGCAAGCAAAACATTAAATTGTAATATATTATTTTTTATAAAAGACAGAAGATGGTTCAACATTGACCCTAAGTTGCACATTTTTCATCTTCTCTAAAGAGATGTCTTTTAATTCATAATGTCTCATGATTAATACACATTTCACTTTCTCAGCAGTAAAGAAAATTCTCAGCAGTATACAAAATAATGTTTTTACTATCAATGATATATTCATTTAAATGAATTTCAGTAATGAAAAAATACAACTTGTACTAAAAAGGGTTGTAAAAAAAAAGAAAGAAAAAAATAACTCATGAAGCTGTAGAGACAGCTCAGCAATTAAGGATGCTTACTGCTCTTGCAGAGAACTAGAGTTCTGCTCCCAGCACCCATATCAGGCAACTCACAACTGCCTACAACTTCAGCTGCAGGGGCTCACACTCCCTCTGCTGGCCTCTGCAGGCACTGCACTCACAGTAGCACATACACACAGACACACACACATACACACATAATTAAAAATAAATCTTAAGTAAATTAAACATAATAGACTCATTTCAATGGATGCTTGAAAGGCATTATGTAATGTTCAGTACCCATTCCTGGTTTCTAGCCAGGACAGTTCCTTAATGTGACACGGGGCTTATGTTTCCATACAGTGGCTACCATGACAGCTAAATGTGTAGCATCATGGGCATTCCAGTTAAAACCAAGAACAGGAACAGCACACATACTACCAACACGATGGTTGTTTGCTGTGGAGCTTTGGGCCACTCCATAAAGCCCTGTAAGAAGGAGGAGGAAGAAAAAGAGAGAGAGAGAGAGAGAGAGAGAGAGAGAGAGAGAGAGAGAGAGAGAGAGAGATTATCAGCACTGGACAGGAAGAGATTAGCGTCATTCACTGCAGGAAAATAATATCCCAGGATTAGGAGTCTACCAGTAGAGAAGTTGTTTGGGTTTAAAACTTCATGACAGAATAATTAGATAAGAATTGAAAGCAAGAAACATACCTGTGTTTAAAAAAAAAATTCAGAATTAAGAGATAAAATTTCAAAATACCACTTGTATAGAAAGCCTTAGCTTTGTGCCACAGGGGTCTTGCTCTTGACCCAACCCCTGTCTATCTCATTGTGTAAACATACTCATTTGTAAATGTAACAGCCGCCTTGAACATTTTTATACATTTAAGTTTTGTGCACATGTATGTTCATATGTGTATGTGTGCATCTATGTGTGGTCATATGCAGGTGGAGGTCTGAGGTTGACATAAGCAATCTCCCTTAGTTGATCTCCACCTTATAGACATTGAGGCAGGGTCTCTCAACTGAACCCAGAGCTTGATGACATGGACTACTGTAGTTAGCCAGCCTCCAGCAGGAACCCCCAGTCTCCACCTTCCACATTCAGAGTGCTAGGATTAAATGCAGGCTGGGGGTAGACCTATACAAATTTGTGATTCCTGGTGCCTTTTGCTTCTTCATTTTTCCTACATGAAGAGCCTTCACTACACACTCCCACCCCTGTTAACTGGGCTGATGGAGCAGACCTGTCTAAAACCATGAGCCAAAATAAGTCTTGCCTCCTTTCACACCTTGTCAGGTGTTGCGGTAACAGTGAGATGAATATGTATTAACATGTGTTTGCATGTATATTTCCTATCTTGCCCTATTTAAGTAAAGCTTTTTTTTTTTTTCTTTTGAGACAGTCTCAGGTAGACCAGACCGGCTTCAATTCACCACATAGTTAAGAATGACCCTGGAACTTTCTGTTTCCTCCCTCTACTTCATAAGTGCTGGAATTCCAGACTTAGGGTGCGCTGGACATCAAACCCAGGGTTTCTGTGGGAAAGGGAAGGTGACTAGATGAACGGTGTGAGTGAATGAGTGGGCAGATGGATGGAAGGATGCATGCATGCGATTATACGTGGGTGGGCATGTGGATAAATGAGTGGATGGATGGATGGATGGTGGATGGATGAATAGATAAGTATCATGGGTGAATGGGTGGGGATAGGAGAATGGATGCATGCATTAACAGGTGGATGGGTGGATGGATAGTTGGGTAGATGGGTGATGAATTGGATGGATGGATGGATGGATGGATGGATGTGTAGGTAGGTGGATGGATGGATGGACAGATGGATGGACGGATTGACTATGAATGCAGAGCTATGGATGGCTTGTATGTATAGAGATACACACATATCACTGGGGACCCTCCACTATGTTTGACCACCACAAGAATATGCCATATCTCCCATGAGAGAGCACTTGGAACCTCTATGCAGGAAAGTCATTCCAGGCTGAGGAAGGAAATGTGACAACTCACTGAGATCTTCAGGGTAACATTTGTGCTAAAGGAAATAATCCCTACACATACCTGGGAGTCCTCTGACTCATCATCTTCCTCTACTGAACTCCATTCCTGAGACAGCCCAGTCTCTTGAGAGGACAGATCTGTGAAATCAACAAAACAGAGAAAGGAGCTGCTAGTGAGCAACCAGGGCACCGGTGAGGGTCCCCTTGCCTTATCTACTTACCCCGTCCCTTACCTACTAATGAACTAACATGTATAAACATACACACATGCACACAGATATACAGTAATACACACATACACAGATACATACAAACACATACACACACACATACAGTAATACACACATACACACAGATACATACAAACACATACACACACACATACAGTAATACACACATACACACAGATACATACAAACACATACACACATATATACATATATATGTACATATATATACATAAACACACACATACACACATAAATGCCCAGATGTACAGGTGCGTACACACAGATATACACATATATACATATAAACACACAAGCACACATATACAAGTATATGTATGTATATAGGTATATATACACATATACAAATACATACACACACAAACACATATACATACACACATACAGACATGTACACATAAAACACATATACACATATATAAGTATATGTATAAGCACACATATAGAAACATACACACATATACAAACACACACACAAACACATACATATATATACCTACAATTACACATACACATAAAATACACATGTATATACATATATAAACAAACACATACATGCATATACATATATACATACAAACACACATACACATATAAAACACACATACACAGATATATATATACATAAACACATACACACACATAAACACAGATACACATGCATACACACACATGATTCATGTGGGGCTGATAACATGTCAGGCTTGAATTCAGATCCTGCAGCTGACTACATGACAAACTGGGCCATCTGATGGGCCCCTCTGTCACCTGTCCAGATGGTACAAGATCCCTGGTCAGCTTCCAGCCAAGATCTGAGTGAGGGATCAGAGAGAAAGAATTGCTCCAGGAGTCTCTCTACCTTCCCACAAGAGAAGCTTCCAGGGAAGAATTTTCCACACAGTTACAACCTATGCATCCTCCTGGTTCCTAAGCAGAATGAGGCTGGCAGAGCTTTTGTTTTATGTCTCTAAGATTGGCCTGGAAATCTCCATCTAACCCAGGTTAGCCTCAGCCTCATGAGCAATTCTTCCATCCCAGCCCCCCAAGTGGAGGCACACACAGAAGCACACAGGCTGAGGTCAGAAGACAACTGGGAGTCAGCTCTCTCCTTCCACCATGCAGGTCCTGGAGATCAAACTCAAGCCACCAGCCTTGGCAGCAAGCACCCTTATCCGCTAACCCATCGCGCTGGCCCTGGGTTCTCTCTTAACTGACCTCTTGCCTTTCAGTCTTAACTTCCTAAATCTACAATTTATTCTGGAAAACAGCTTTAAAAAAATAAAAAGCAGGCTTAATGCCCTCAGCATCCCTGACATTTGAGCTGCATAATTATTAGAGGGGAGGGCCTGGATTGTTCATTGTGGGATTAACAACTCATTCTGACCTCTGCCCATGCAGGCTCTTGTTAGTAACCTTGAGGGGAGTAATGGGCCACTAATCCTGGCCTTGACCATGCAATCTTTTGACCAGTCACATAGGATCATCAAGTTGCTAGCAAAGGATTTAAAGGTGCTTAGGAGAGCTGGAGAGATGGCTCAGTGGTTAGGAAGGCAGAAAAATGATCAGTGGATAGGAGGGTGGAGAGATGCTCTGGTTAGGAGGGTGGAGAGGTGCTCAGTGTATAAGAGACTGGAAAGATGCTCAGTGGTTAGGAGGGCTGGAGAGGTGCTCAGTGGATAGCAGGGCTGGAGAGGTGCTCAGTGGTTAGGAGGGCTGGAGAGGTGCTCAGTGGATAGCAGGGCTGGGGAGGTGCTCAGTGGATAGCAGGGCTGGAGAGGTGCTCAGTGGATAGCAGGGCTGGAGAGGTGCTCAGTGGTTAGGAGGGCTGGGGAGGTGCTCAGTGGATAGGAGGGCTGGGGAGGTGCTCAGTGGTTAGGAGGGCTGGGGAGGTGCTCAGTGGATAGGAGGGATGGGGAGGTGCTCAGTGGTTAGGAGGGCTGGGGAGGTGCTCAGTGGATAGCAGGGCTGGGGAGGAGCTCAGTGGATAGCAGGGCTGGGGAGGTGCTCAGTGGAGAGGAGATTAGAGAGGTGCTCAGTGGAGAGAGAGGAGATTAGAGAGGTGCTCAGTGGAGAGAGAGGAGATTAGAGAGGTGCTCAGTGGTTTAAGGGACATGCTGAACTTGTTCTTGAGGACGAGTGTTCAGCTCCCCGAAACTACATCAGGCAGTTCACAGTTAGCTGTAACTCTGAAGGATCCTGTGCCTTCCTCTGACCTCTGCGGGTACCTGCACACACTTGTCCGCGTGCACACGCGCGTGTGCGCGCACACACACACACACACACACACACACACACATTTTCAAAAATTTTAAGTGCTTAGGCATCCCTGTTAGCATTCCCTGTTCCTCAGTACCCTCCAAGGACCCCTTAGAATAAACCTCTTGGAGACGTAAGTCCACCAGACGGCGTGTGAGTCAGCCAGCTCCCTATGACCTCACAGGCAAGTGCAAAAGCAGATAACAGGAGAAATGTCCTCTGAGGTCATGTCTTATAGGATTATGAACCCATACATTCGTGTTGCATTAAGAGACTAAATATTGGGGTGACTCGTTATACAGCAAAAGCTGACCAGTTCAGGCTGGAGAGATGGCTCAGAGGCTAAGAGCACTGACTACTCTTCCTGGGTGCAATTCCCAGCAACCACATGATGGCTCAGAACCATCTACAGTAAGATCTGGCGCCCCCTTCTGGCCTGCAGGGATGCATGTAAGTAGAAACAACTCATTAAAACAAACAAACCAAAAAAAAAAAAACCTGACCAACGCAACCTTCCACAAGCCGTGTCTGTTGACTCGGTGAGTGACAGCATGGATGCTCAGCTTCTCCCTAAATTCTGCCCAGAGCATGTCCTTTGCCCACCTCCCGCGGGACCCTCACCTTTGTCATCGCTGTCACAGCTGGAGGTCCCGACCTCCACAGCCTCCCAGTCCTTGGGGAAGGTGGGGTGGCATGGCCTCTCCCAGGCCCTGCTGTCCCGAGGCAGCCGTCCCTGCGCCTGCTCAGTCCTGAGGCTCTGCATCTCCTCAGGAGGAGGTGGGGCTTCCAAGGCAGCGCTTACTTCAGGTGTCCTGCGGGGTTCCTCAGGAACAGGGTTCAAAACCTAAGGACTGACAGACACACTGTCACCTAGCGAACGGTGCTAGGCATGCTAGGAAGACAGTAGGGTGCTGGAGATGGTTCAGAGGTTAAAAATGAATGGTCTGCTTTGACTCATGACCTATCGTGGGCGGGGGCGCGGCTGCAGGAGCATGAGGGGGCTGGTGCCATGGCTTGCTCAGCCAGGAAGCAGAGAATCGTGGATGCCAGTGTCCAACTCCCTTTCTAATTTTATTCATCCCAGCACCCCACGCCATGGACGGCAGGTGACAGTCAGGGTAGGTTTTTCCTAATCAGTTAAGCGGGTCTGGAAGCATCCTCATTAGACATGCCCACAGGGTTTCCATGGTGACTGTAAATTGCCATCGTGGACGGTAATTTAGATGACAAGATTAACCACCATAGATGCAGATTCCGAGCAGCATGTTGTGAAACGAAAATACTTATTACAGAAAATGTATGCGGGCTGGGGATATAATGATACCAAGTACGTGTTGCTTACTTTATTGACTGTCAGAGGGCATAAGGAGATGTAAGGAGCTGTCTGCCTGCCTGCCTGCCCATCTGTTTATGACAAGGTCTTGTTAGACAACGCAGGCTAGCCTCAACTTACTGTGTAGCCCAGTCTTGACTCCAACTCACGATACTCTCCTCTGAGCCCTTAAAGTGCGAGGGCTACAAAGGGGTGCCCCCACGCCAGCCACACCCATCTCTGTTTTAGAGGTGTTTGTGAAGTAGCTGGAAGGAAACTGGTGTGACAGCTGACGTGTGCTTTAGAACAGTTTTGAGAGGACAGACAGACACCATATGGACATCGCTTATATCTTGAAATCACTTGTATGTTGAGATTGTCAGCTTTATCAGCTTGGACACAACATGGAATCACCTGGGAATAGAGTCTTAATGAGGGATGTTCTACATTGGGTTGTGTGCTTGTCTGTAGGGGATCGTCTTAAATTAGGTGACGTGGGAAGGCCTAGCCCACTGTGGGAGACACCATTCCCTAGCAAGGGTGTGCAACTGTATAAAAGCAGACAAACTGAGCCAAGCAAAAGAAAGTGAGCGTGCAATGCATTCATTTCTCTCTGCTCTTGACTATAAATTTGATGTGACCAACTATCTCAAGCTCAACATGGGATTGTGAACTACAGTAAACTCTACCTCCAATAAGTTGCTTGCTGTCAAGATATTTTGTTACAGTAACAGAAATGAAACTTGAACATACATGTAAACTAAAAAGCCGACATCACAGAAGGGTATTATTATATTAGTATCAGGTACCTGGAACCTGGGAAGAGACTAAGAGAATGACAAAACAGGGTTACGAGTTTGGTTTTTCTGGGCGGTGGTGGCGCACACCTTTAATGCCAGCACTCAGGAGGCAGAGGCAGGTGGATCTCTTGAGTTTGAGGCCAGCCTGGTCTACAGAGTGAGTTCCAGGACAGCCTCCAAAGCTACACAGAGCTTTGTCAAAAAACAAAACAAAAAGAGTCCAGTTTTTCATTAAGAGAAATAATGTAGGTAGGGTAACTGTAGTTGCCTGAGGTTGTGAGCTGCCCAACATGGATTCTGAAAAATCAAACTTGGGTTCCCTGCAGAAGCAGTGTGAGCTCCTAACTGCTGAGTCATCCCTCCAGCCCACCATCCATTATTTGTCTCTTGGAAAAGCATGTCTCATGTAGTGAGATAGTTACTTTGTCCACTATCTCACTACAGTCTCAAAGGACTCTGAATCCACAATTAAACACAAGTTCTCCAAGGCAATTCATCTCTCTATACCCCCAGTACTTCCCCCCCCCAGAGCCTCACTCCTGCTCAAGACCCCTCCCCATCCTTCCCAGAAGCTCCAACAATGCTTTGTCTTGTCTTTGTCTCATACCACATGCAACCAGCCAGCCAGCCCACCTACTCTTTTCTCTTTTGTTAGAAAACATCTCGCTCTCTGTCTGCTGCCCCAGACTTCAGCCTGGCCTGAGATTCTGTCCCCAGGATACAGAAGCTTTTGTCACAGTTTCCCAGTCTTTTGGGATTCACTCAGCTCTTAATGATGCTCAACCCCTAAACCTACTCCCCAGTCCATTCAATAGCTTCATGCTGGCCCCATGGTTCCATGAGTAAAGAAAGCTGTTGCCAAGCCTGATACCCTGAGTTTTATCCCTGGGACCCAGGTGGTGGAAGAAGAGAGCCCACTCCCATAAATTATCTTCTAACCTCCATATGTCTACCATGTCCCCATGGATTCACAAAAATAATAGCTAAGAGTAAAGTACCCACTGGCCTTGTGGTTGGTTACAATGACCTAGACTTTTAGTTATGGACAAAACATTTTAGTTATGGATGTTAGTTAGTGTAATATCCAAAGAGGCACAGGCAAAGATTTTAGACCCACCCAGCAATTTTTGGAAGGAAAAACAAACAAACACTTGTTCTCAGTGGGTATGAAAGAGAATGCCTCACCTTGGGGCCGATGTATCTGTTGTTTGTTTCGTTGTCTGGTTTTTTAATTTTGTGGTGTGTGTGTGTGTGTGTGTGTGTGTGTGTGTGCGTGCGTGTACAATCAAGAGGACAGCTTTCAGAAATCAATTATTTCCTTTTACCATAGGATCCAAGAATGGAACTCAAGTCACCAGACTTGTGTGGGTGTGGCATGTACTTTTACTCCCCAAGCCATCTCGCCAGCCTTTGTTTCAGACACTGCCAAGTATCTTAGGGTAGCCTTGAACTCACTCTGTATCCCAGGCTGATCTCAAACTCCTGATCCTTTTGCCAATGGCTCCTGGGCACTGAGGTTGCAGGCATGAGATGTCACACTCAGCAGCTGTGTGTTAGTTAGCCAGGAGTGCCCCTTAGGAAATGAGGAGCAGCTTCAGGGGCCAACGGGACATCTCTAGTCAGAACACGGTCCAGTATTTGCTTCCTTTCACTGTGTCTGTTTTCATAGTTATTCTCAATTAACTGTGAAACCCTAAAAATGAAAAGTGACACTGGCACTACCTCCCCCGCTGTGAGATTCTTTTTTTCTTTTTTTTTTTTTTTTTTTTTTTTTTTTTTTTTGAGACAAAGTTTCTCTTTGTAGATTTTTAAAGCAAGCTGGCTCATGGGTGCTGGTGGGAGTGTCTGTTAGCCCAACAACCATTTAGTAAAACCCCACCACACCATCTGTTAAGGCTAAACATATGCATACCCCCACAAGTGATGTTCCTGTCCTCTGCACCTACGCAAAACAGAGGAAAGCTATCCTGTGTTCACGTGTTTGTGGGAGCTACCACTCCTCTGTCTATATTTAAAAAACAAAGCTGTTGGGAGGGTTTGATACAGTTCAATGGGTAGAGAACACTGCACAAGCATGAGGCTTTGAGTTCAAATCCCGTGAACCCACATTGTAAAAAAAAGGGGGGGTATTATATTTATTAAAAAAAAAAAAACAAAAAAAAAAAAAACAAAGAGTCTAGCCAGGACATCTGGTTGACTCACATGCAGGAGGAAGTAGAGAGCAGCAAAGTCCAGGTCTGGACATCTGGTGGAACTGTTGCATCCCTGAGTTAAGGCTTCACTGGAGAAGGGGCAGAAACAACATTCCAGGAGCCTGCTGGCCAACCAATGCATGCAGCCAAAACAGTAAGCACCCACCAGGCTGGGCAGAGAGGCCGTGCCTCAAAATAAATAAGGTAAAGAACTGAGGAAAGTATCCTTTGACCTTCACGTGTGCCAATATGGGCTGCTGCATGCACACACTAGCACGTGAATGTTTATGGGTAACTGGAACTGAAGAGAGGGCTCTGAGGTCACAAGCACTGGCTGCTCTTGCAGAGGACCCAGGTTCAGTTCCCAGCACACACATCAGACAGCTCACAACATTCTGCAACTCCAGAGGACCTGACAGCTTCTGGCCTCTGAGAGTACTTGCAAGCATATGCGTTCACACATACGCACGTGTGCCCACACACACACACACACACACACACACACAAATAAGCTTTTAAACAATGCAGATATTTTTAACATATTACAGCTGTGGTTGGGCATGCAGCTCAGCTGATAGAGCACTTGTCTACCACACACAAAACGCTGGCTGGGTTCAGTCCCCAGCACTACACCATAAACCGAGGTGGCACAGACATCCAATCCCAGCACCCAGGAAGTGGATATGGGTGGATGACAAGTTCGACTACATGGTGAGTTCAATACAACAGCCTGAGCTACCTGAGACTCTGACTCAAAAACAAATATTGACAACCTGAGAGCCTATGGATGAACCGAACGTCCCCATCGATAGCTACCGGTACCCTGGAAGTGAGCAGGCAGGACAAAACCTAGCAGCAGATATGAAGGTGCACGACAGACGGAAATGCTGGTCAGGGGCTCCGACCGCAAACACCGCCAGAGCTCGTCAGAAATGGGACAAGAATAAAATAAGTCAAGCAATAGCCTCCCTATGGCTCTCACTTCCGCAACTGAAAGACAAAATGCAAATCCAGAGGACTGTTTTCTTCATCACTCATCACAAAGAAAATAGAATCAGCCAGCCACTGCGCAGCACGGGAGAAACAATGGGAAGCGCCCAGAATTGTATAGCAGAAGATCGATCGGATCGAGTGAGTGTCCATTGGGGAGGAGTTGTCTTGCTCCTTCAGCCTGGCGAACACACGAGACACGTGGCTGCCACTTTCTATCTCTTTTTTTGTTTTTAATTACTTATTTTTATTTCATGCGCATCGGTATTTTGCCCTCACGCGTGTCTGTGTGTTGCATCCCCTGGAACTGGAATTAGACAGTTGTGAGCTGCCATGTGGGCACTGAGAATTGAATTCAGGTCCTCTGGGAGAGCAGCCAGTTTCTTAACTGCTGAGCCATCTCTCCAACCCCACTTTCGATTTCTTAGGAGACTGGGAAATTACTTTTCAGGTGACATCTTTTGCACTTTTAAAATATTTAAATAAAATC